ATAAATCCATCCATGTTATCAGTATCAACAGTTTATTCCTTTTTACTGCCGAGTAGTATTCCATGTGTTGGTGTACCACACTTGTTTATCCATTCACCTGTTGATGGACATTTAGATTGTGTCTCGTTCAGGGCAACCACAAACAGGCAACCATGCACTTCAAGTTTTTGAATGGTAATGGCATGTCAGGGGGTGGAATATGTCCCTTATAAATAAACATAGGAAAAAATGAGAAACATTCACCAAAATGCTTGAATTCAAAATTACTCAAAACTATGGGACAAACCAACTAGCTCCTCTGTCCACAGCCAGATGCATGATGCCTCTCCCCACCTGGAGTTAGGAAAATTGAGTCAGGAGGTAGCAACCTTTTGGAACTTCCAAAAATAGGCTATTACCTTTTTCCCATAAATTCCCTTTATTTTAAAAAGACTAATGGTCTATAAAATGTAATACAAAATTCAATAATATCTGAGTTGTCGTTTTTGAGCTATCGCTTTGCTGTTTCTCTTACATTTATTTTATTTCAACACTTAAAAAATAATTTCCTACATGCTTTCACATTCTAATAACATATAATTAAAATAAATAGTTATGGGCTTCCCTGGTGGCACAAGGGGTTAAGACGCAACCTATGAAGCTGTCAGCAGCCTCTGCAGCATGAGTTCGATCCCTGGGCAGCCAGGGGGCAACCCACATGGCTCAACAGACCTCTCCTGACTCGCCCGCTGCTCCCCTCAGCAGTGTACTTTGGTCAATCTGCCTGTTCTGTTCCCCATTCTGTCTCTGGCGAATCCTCTCACCTCCCACTCCTCTGGCCTATACCCCAGCTCTTGTATGCATAAATAAATAAATCTTTAAAAAATAAAATAGTCATTTTAAAGGCCAAGAAAATATCTTGCTCTGCTTTTTTAATTCACTTGTAGTAGTCCTCATCTAAAGGATTCTGCATTCCCCCATGTCCTAACCTCCTATCTCACGCGTCTCTGTCTTTGCTGACTAGACTAAGGATGCCAAGGAAGCTTCCCTCTCAGGTACTTGGTTCTTGCTGTCCTCTGTCTGGGATGCACTGTCCCAGTAGTCATATGGGACATTCTCTACTTCCTTTAGGTACAAGCCCAAATGCCATCATAGGCTAAATACAACAGACTTCTTCTCCACCAGCAAAGTACCCCCCGCCAGCTACACTTTTCTCCATAGCACTTATCATTTAAAATATTTATGTTTGGGGCTTCCCTGGTGGTGCAGGGGGTTAAGTCTCAGCACTATCAAACTATGGCCAGCCATTACGGGATGAATTCATTAAGAGTTCGACCCCCAGGCAGGGAGCGAACACACATATAGCGCAGCAGACCTCTCCTGTCTCCCCGCTGCTCCCCTCAGCAGTGTATTTCAGCAGATCTGCCTGTTCTGCTCCCTACTCTGTCTCTGGTGAATCCTCTTATGCCCCACACTTCTAACCTAGGCCCAAGTTCTTAGATGAATAAATAAAAAATAAATCTTTAAAAAACTTTATTTGTTATTGTTTATGCCCTACCACAAAAATAAATTTAAGGACAAGGATTTTATTTTATCTCTTGCTATGTCCCCAAGACCCAGGACACTGGGCCTAGCTCACTTCTGAATCCCACAAATACTTGTTCAATGAATTTGTTTATTAAATATTATGTGCTGATTTTTTAAAACCTCCTGTTTAGAATTTATTAGGAGGAACTCCCTGGTGGCACAGCGGTTGAGCGCTGGGTTGCGAAGCTGCCTGCAGCCTCTGTAGCGCCGGTTCGATCCCCGGCTGCTCCCCGGCCACAGGAGGAGGGTCCCGCATGGTGCGCAGACCTCTCCTGCCGCTCGCTGCTCCCCTCAGCAGTGTACTTCGGTCCTTCTGCCTGTTCTGCTCCCCGCTCTGGCTCTGGTGAATTCTCTCTCTCCCGCGCTTCTGACTGTACCCAGTGCTTGTATAAATAAATAAACAAATAAATAAATCTTTAAAAAAAAAAAAAAGCATTTACTAGGAATTAAAATTTTAATTCAAATGGTCTACTTTTGCTTAAATTAAAATGCTAAGTCAATGCTGATCTACTTCTAAGGACAATTTTTTTTTTTTCCAGACTGACATTTTACTTTGAGCAGCATTTACAAGGTAAAAAGAACATTGGAATTTAAAGGCAGGAAAGCCTGTTTCTGGCCCTACCATGACTAGCTATGCCACAGAAACCAAGACATAACTGTACCTTATTTCAAAAACCCTGTCTCTCAAATGAGGGAACAGATTCTCTTGAAGATCCCTTCTTGCTCTCAGATTCTACCACTCTTTTACAGCTAGGATAGTCTTATGCATTAAAGTTGCCAATCATAAATCAGTTCGCCTAGTCTGTCTGAGTCTATCTCTCACATTGCAATTGTTAGCAAAAGAATTCCAGATAACTTTAACCCTGTGAGAAATGGCCACTGTTCACCCTTCGTTCACTGGAAGGAAAGATTTTAAAGAGGCATTTCTTAGCGGTGGTGGCAATTGAAAAGTCAGAAAGGGAATAAAGTTAAGTTTATTATACTCTCTTGAGTCACTGACATTAAAATAATCACAAATATGCATATCACACACGCCTGGAGGCAGTAGAGTATTAGGGGTTGTGTTTGAGACCAACAGACCCAGTCAATGTCTTGGCTCTCTAACTATGTGATCTTGAGCAAGCCACATACCTGCTCCGTGCCTGCCTCATTAGTACAATAGGTGAATATTTACAACTGCTACAATATCTAGCTACTAGGGTCCTTTTGAAAATTTAATAATGCCTGACATACAGGCTATACTTAATAGTATTATTAAATAATTAAACATAAATACACCCAAACGAGCACATCTAATAACCACAAAAACATTCAGAGCAACACATTTCTCCTGAACTATGATGTCTATATAACGTATGGAAAGAAAAAACTCCTTCATATTGGTAGTCATAAATGTTTACTGCATACTGGTTTCTGAGAGGTCAGACCATAAATTTTTTAAGGAGTTTTTAAAAATCTTCCCCAAGCTAGAGGGTTTCTTTCTTTTAAAATAATTTTTCCATGAAAAAAGCTGACATTCACTACAGTTATACGTAAACATGTTAGGAAAACCAACTAAATAGCTCAGGTATTTTTAACTACTCTTGCTCTTCTTAATTCTAAACAAGAATTGTATATATGTGTATGTATATATCGTCTAAATTTAGACTCTAAGGAACAAAGAGCATCCATTTTCCATATTTCACATACAACAGAGCCAATTAAATAAAAAGATTTCCACCATCATAGCATAGTACCACTTGAGTTTTCAAGCAAATAAACCACTCAGACACACCTTGCTTTTTATAGAACAGGTCCAAATGAGACTTAATAAAACTATGATTCCATGTTATGAATTTTCTACCAACCTGTGTCTTCCTTTTTTTTTTTCTTTTGGTGGTCAGACTGTAAAATAAATCAATTAAGAGTTCATAATGGGAATGCTGCAACCTCAACCTCAAATCCAGACACAAAAACACAGAGGAACGTATTCGCATCTCAAGCACGTCCAAATGTCTCGGTCAACACAATCTGATCACTGCTGTCTCCAGAAACACAGGAATGGGGTTTAATCTATTTTTTTTTTTTTAAATCTTCGTTGTGTCGCAAATGCATGCAAAACGCAAAACACAGTAGATTCCTCACATTCCGTTTATAGCCAGAAGACAGGCCATCCCCTCTGCGCCCAACCCCAGAGAGCCCTCCTTGCGACAATAAGAATTTCATGCCACCCTGTGCTACCTACACATCAAAATGTCACCCCCCAAAGTGGAGGGGGAAGCAGTGTCAGCAGCGGCTGGCCGCAATGAAATGCCTGGGCCAGGATTCCCACCTCTGAGCAAACACGAAACCAAGTCGGTGGAAAGTTCCCATCGACCAAACATATGTTTTCCTTCTACCCCAAAGCCAGCGGCACATTTGGGGAGATTTGCTGCACCTGCCACGGCTCCCAAACGTGGACGTCCCGCCGGCCCGGGGCTCACGGCCAGGCCTCGCGGCCTAACGCGCCCCGACCCTCCGCAGGGCCCCCGGGGGCGGCCGGGAGCGCCCCTCGCCGTCCACGCCGCCCGCTCTCCTGACAAAGACCCCGTCAGTGCGCGGCCCGGCGCGGAGAAGCCGCGGGACCGCCCGCCCCGCCGGCGCCGCCTCTCCCTCCGGGGCCTCCCGCGGCGCCGGGGCCGGGGCAGGTGTGCGGCGCCGAGGCGCAGGCTCCCCGCCGCGGGCCGCCGGGGGTGCCCTGAGGGGCGCCCCGGGCCGCGGGGGGAAGGCGAGCCCGGAGGCAGCCGCGGCTCCCTCAGGGCGTGGAGACCGCGGGCGTCCGCCTCAGGAAACGCCGGGCTCCGGGCGCTCGGAACGCGCCGCCCGCGGAATCCCCGGGGCGCGAGGCCCGCGGGGGAGGCGGCGCGGGGGCGGCGGCCGCAGCCCCGCGCCCCGCCCCGCGCCCACACACCTGCCCGGCCGGCGGCGGCCGCGGGGCGGCTGAGGCGGGGGCGGCCGGGGGCGCGGGGCCGGGGGCGCGGGGCCGGCGGCTCGCCTGACGGGGCCGGGCCGCGCCTCACCTCCAGGTCGGTGTCGGCGGCCTCCGGGGCGCCGAGGATCTCGCTGGGCAGCTCGGCCAGGTCGGTGACCCGGATCAGCCCGTCGTGCAGGAAGATGGTCTCCTCCTTCACCGACAGCCACTGCGCCGAGTCCGCGGCCGCAGCCGCCGCGGCCGCCGCGGCCGACGAGCCCATGGCCCCGGCGGAGGCTGGGCGGGGAGAAGCGGCCGCCCGGCCCGGGAGACGCCAGCGGGAGCCGCCGCGGTCACCAGTCCATGGCAGCAGCCGCCGCGCCCGCCCGCAGCGCCTCGCGCACCGCCGCGCCCGAGCAGCTCCGCCCTAGGCGGTCCAAGCCGCCATCCTCCGCCCCCGGGCCCCGGAGACCCCGGCCCCGACGCCGCCGCCGCCGCCCTGAGGAGCAGGATCCGCCTCTGGCGCTCGGCAGCCAACTGTCAGTGAGACGCCATCTTGGGGGCGGGGCTCCCGGCATGCCCCGCGGAGCGGACAATACGGGCTCCGCCCACCCGCCTGGCCCCGCCCACAGCCCGCAGCCCCGGCGCCGCGGTCCGCGGGGTCTCGCCACTGACGGACACCCCCTCCCCTACTCCCCCCGCCGTTTGGGGGCGCCCTGGGTTTGCAGGCCACCAGGAGAAGAAGCCGCTCGCGGTCTGCCCTCCTCGCCCTGTTCAGGTGTGCTGGGGCCAGAGCCCCCTCCCTGGGCAAAGCGTGGACGTTCACTCCCTGCGTTTAAATCAGAGACGTGCAACGGGGGCCTTGGGAAGGAAATTCTGTGGGGACTCCACCTGAGGGGGTGGGGGGAAGCACATATTGTCTAAAAAAAAAAAAAATCAAATATTGTCTAAAAAAAAAATCAAATATAAAAATCAAAATCGAAAAAATAAATAAGAGACATGCAAACATCTGGCGCAGAGTAGGTGCTGCACACTTGTTCGTAAACAACTGCTAGAATCGCACAGAAGGGGCTTCATATTTACTAAAAAAAAAAAAAAAAAATCTGGTGAAAATAAAGCACTGGCTGCCAAGCTTGGTGTCCAGAGTCTGGCGCTGAATGAGTGTTCCATGTGTGGGTGTTAAAGTTATTGTTATATCCCATCAATATTCAACACTGATTGACAGATACCCTAAAAATATGTGCACTTCCCAGTTTTTATAAAATCAGGAAAGAAGGGGGGACACCCTGGTAGCCCGCACTATCCCCCTAGCTAGGGAGCTACCCACATGGTGCGGCAGACCTCTCCTGTCTAGCCTGCTGCTCCCCTCAGCAGTGTATTTCAGTCAGTCTGCTTGTTCTTTTCCCCACTCTGTCTCTGGTGAATCCTGTTACCCCTGGCATCTCTGGCCTGTACCCCAGCACTTGTATGCATAAATAAATCTTTTTAAAAAATAAACTGGAAAGAAGGGAACTATATGTGTAGAGAAAGCGTGTAGGAGGATGCATACCAAATTGTTAATGTAAGTTGTCACACACAGTGGGGCTGGTCTAGAATGGCTGAAGAGAGTTTTTTTCTTTGTATTGCATATATATGTGCAATCTTTAAAAAAAGATTTTTAAAAAATCTTTAAATCTTTAAGAAAAAATTTATATTTTTTTAATAGAGGCATGTTTTTATTTATTTAGTTAGTTAGTTAGTTTTTGTTTGTTTGTTTATACATGCACTGGGTACAGTCAGAAGCGCAGGAGGGTGAGAGAATTCACCAGAGCCAGAGCGGGGAGCAGAGCAGGCAGAAGGACTGAAGTACACTGCTGAGGGGAGCAGCGGGCGACAGGAGAGGTTTGCGCGCCATGTGGGACCCTCCTCCAGTGGCCGGGGAGCAGCCGGGGATTGAACCAGCGCCGCAGAGGCCGCGGGCAGCTTTGCAACCCAGCGCTCAACCGCTGCGCCACCGGGGAGGCCCCTCTTTAAGAAAAAATTTATTTACACATACAAGAGTTGAGGTGTAGGCCAGAGGTGTGGGGGTTGAGAAGATTCACCAGAGACAGAGTGGGGAGCAGAACAGGCAGATTCACTGAAATACACTGCTGAAGGGAACAGGAGGCAAGACAGGAGAGGTCTGCTGTGCCATGTGGGTCAGCTCCCTGGCCAGGGAGCTAACTCAATAGCTGAAGATAGCTTCATAGTGCTCAGAGTTAACCCCTTGTGCCACCACGGAGGCCCCACCCCAATTCTTGGATGCATAAACAAATAAAATATATATTAAAAAAAAAGAACCCCCTTCACTCTTTTTACTCATACAGTCCAAGCCTAATGGTAACCTCCACAATTTTGGGTTTTGGAATCTAAATAACTATCCTGTGTCGCTCAGAGAAAAATTCTCCTGCTCTTATTGTTTAGCTTTCAAGAACAGAAGTCAAGATACAAGATGTTATTGTCCTTCACTCCAATTAATGAAAACTGCATATCCAGGGCTTAACTGTCTTTAGACTGCATAATGAATGGTTATTTAATATTTTAACAGCAGTAATTAATTAGTCATAGGACTCGTGGCTGCCACCACACTACGATGAGGCAACTGATGAATTAATATTTATAGAACCCCCTCTGGAAAAAGACCATTTACTGAGAATTTCTAGAACAGGTTAGCGAGACAAAGAAGGCCCCTAATCAAAAGAACTCTAAGCTGGAAGCCTAGAGGCTCAGAATCCACAGACAAAACACACACACCCCCCCAAGAACACAGGAAACATCCATTCATAGAATCATAGAAAGGAGACGTTCATGACTTACGTATTTTCTTTTGAACTGTTCAATTGTTCTTTTCACACTTTTGCTGGAAAATGAGTGATCAAGAGGGAAAAGGGAGCAAGAGAAAGTTTTGGCTGGGCAACCCTAAATTCAAAGCAAAAAGGAAGCAGGAGAGAGCAGGAAGAGCTCTGAGTAGGTTAGACCTCAGCGACCTCTGGGAGGCACCTTCCCAAGAGAGTGCGAGCTTGTTGATGGAGACCATCTCCCTGCTGATGTTCACTGGCCTTGGCTCAAGCTGCAACCCCTCTGGGATTTTGCAATATCTCTCCCTTCTGAAGCTTTTTTGTACCAGCTGACTGTCTAAAATGCGTCTGTAGAGCCTCCCTGGTGGCACAAGGGTTAAGACACAGCACTATGAAGCTATCCGCAGCCTCTGCAGCATGAGCTCGATTCCTGGCCAGGGAGTTGACACATGTTGCACAGCTGACCTCTCCTGTCTCGCCTGCTGCTCCTCTCAGCAGTGTATTTCAGTCAATCCACCTGTTCTGCTCCCCACTTTCTCTGGTAAACCCTCTCATCCCCCACACCTCTGGCCTACACCCCAGTTCTTGTATGCATAAATAAATCTTTAAAATAAAATAAAATGAGTCTGTAAACCTTCCTGGTTCCACAGAAATGCAAGTGTGGTGTGAGATAAGTGGGCCTTCATAGACCTTAATACAGCTTGAAATAGCTTTAAACAAAGCAGCCATGTTAATTTTTAAGGCCTTTCAAAACACCAAGGGAAAAGCCCATGCATAGTTCTGCTAACACACACACAACAGTCTGTGGGGAGATTATTTTCCAACTCACTAATCACAGTCTCAAAGAGGAAACACACACCTACTCAAAATCTTTTTTCCAAGTCATCTGGTAGACTCTGTTCTCTGCCTTTCTTCTTCTTTCTCTCTTTTTTTTAATTTCAGGGAAGATTATACTGACTCATGGTTGGGTCTACGATGTCGCCGGGACAGGAAACAGGATGAGATATTTGAAAACGAAGAGGAGAAATCCTTCTTGATGCTCTCTTGAATTACCTATGGAACAAGCTTCTACAAGGATAAAAAGCCCAAAGATAAAGCAGCAGTAAGTGCAGCTCTTAAGGGTGAAATCAGCACCATGGATCTCCAAAATATGCCGTGTCCTCCAGTGCCCCCTAGTGGGCACCAGAGACCTTACTGCACCGAAATTTCCTTTTTTTTTTTTTTTAAAGATTTATTTATTTATACAAGAACGAGGGTACAGGCCAAAGGCATAGGAGGGTGAGAGAATTCACCAGAGACGGAGCGGGGAGCAGAACAGGTAGACGGAACGAAGCAGCGGGCGAGACTGGAGAGGTCTTTCTCGCCACGTGAGTATCTCCCTGGCCGGCTGGGAATCCAACCTGTGCTGCAGAGGCTGCGGACAGCTTCACAGCGCTGTGCTCAACCCGCTGCCACCGGGGAGGCCCCCGGAATTTCCAGTTCTGACTTGCAATTTGCAAACATGCGCCATCTGCAAAAATGTAGGTTAAGGACCTCCTTGGTGGCATGAGGGGTGAAATCTCAGCACTATCAAGCTATAGCCAGCCACTGCAACATGAGTTTGATCCCCAGCCAGCCAGGGAGCAAACCACATGGCACAGCAGGCCTCTCCAGTCTCACCGGCTGCTCCCCTCAGCAGTGTATTTCAGTCAGTCTGCCTGTTCTGTTCCCCACTCTGTCTCTGGTGAATCCTCTCATCCCCCACACCTCTGGCCTATACCTCAGCTCTTGTATGCATAAATAAATAAATCTTTTAAAAAAAAATGTAAAGGAAGGGCCTCCCTGGTGGCCCAAGAGGTTAAGACGCAACTAATGACGCTATCCGCAGCCACTGCAGCAGAGTTCGAGCCCCCGGTCAGGGAGCTACCCACATGGCACAGCAACCTCTCCTGTCTCACCCGCTGCTCCCCTCAGCAGTGTGTTTCAGTCAATCTGTCTGTTCTGTTCCCCACTCTGTCTCTGGTGAACCCTCTCACCCCTCATGCATCTGGCCCGTACCCCAGCTCTTGTATGCATAAATAAATAAATCTTTAAAAAACAATGTAAAGGAAAAAAAAGTAGTCTTGCAGAAAAATCCATGTGCCTGGGAAGAAATGAGATCAACCATCTCTCCACTCATGTTGCTAGCTAGAGAGTTCTAACCACTAGCACCCAGCTGAGAATCTCTAGGCAGAGTCAGGATAATGTTTAACAACCCTGCTGTCTAGCTTCCCTCCATGCATAGAAAACAAGCGTGAGTCAGAACCACTGGGAAAGTTGGACACTTCAAAGCCTGCACATGAAAACCAGAAATGCTGTCAAAATTTTGTTTGATCACTGCACTGTTTGACATGAGAAACTGTTTATTCCCTTTCTCCCTACAGGTCTATCATCTCATTCAAGCTTGTAACTGGAGGAGCGATTCCTGCATAGTAAAATCTGCCAGAATTTTCCCAGGGGTCAAAGTCTCACCTTAATTATCTAATCAACTTTTTATCTAGCTATCATGTTACTGGGACTCTTTACTCCAGTCCACATTGCTAATAACTGATGTGTAGTTAGTTATTTTTTTTTAAAGATTTATTTATGCATACAAGAACTGGGGTGTAGGCCAGAGATGCAGAGGGCAAGAGGATTCACCAGAGACAGAGTGGGGAGCGGAACAGTCTGATCTACTGAAATACACTACTGAGGGGAGCAGCAGGAGAGACAGGTCTGCTGCGCCATGTGGGTAGCTCCCTGCTAACCAGAGCTTGGGATGTGATGCAAGTTGAATCGATCTAAAGCATGTTCATGCTCTAATTTTTTTTTTTTAAAAAAAGATTTATCTATGCACACAAGAACTGGGGGTACAGGCCAGAGGTGTGGGGAGGTGAGAAGATTCACCAGAGACAGAGGGGGGAACAGAACAGGTGGACTGACTGAAACACTGCTGAGGGGAGCAGTGGGTGAGACAGGAGAGGTCAGCTGCACCACGTGGATAACTCCCTGGCCAGGAATCGAACTCGTGCTGCAGTGGCTGGGGGCAGCTCCATAGGTTACGTCTTAACCCCTTGTGCCACCAGGGAGGCCCCCATGCTCTAATTTTTGACCCCGTCGTGAATGTTACTTGATATGACAAAAGGGACTTGGTGGGTGTGGTTAAGTTAAAGATCTTCAGATAGAGGATGTGGTGTAACAAAAATGTATTTGGTCATTGTTCCTGGTTCCTGGCACAGAGTCACTAAAAACCATGGAATTTCCTGAGGGATAGGAGTCCTTTGTTTTCCATGAGCTCCTTTGATCATGCTGGAGTTTATGCCAATTGGCTACTTAGGGTGCCCTCCCTCCTCACTCCCCCAGCCTCAGGATGCGGCCTAGTCACCACAAAGCGATCAAAAAAAGCTGTAACTTTAGGCCTATCAACAGATATAAGGAAAGGGCATATGTGCGGCAGATTAAGCTTTACAAAATCTCTTGAGCAAGATTTTTTTTTTAAACTTACTTATCCATGCACACAAGAGCTGGGGTATAGGCCAGAGGTCTGGGACGTGAAAGGATTCACCAGAGACAGTGTGGGGAACAGAACAGGCAAACTGACTGAAATACACTGCTAAGGGGAGCAGCAGGCTAGTCAGGAGAGGTCTGCTGCGCCATGTGGGTTGCTCCCTGGAGGGCTGGGGATCTAACTCATGCTGCAGAGGCTGTGGATTGCTTCATAGTGTGGTGCTTAACCCCTTCCGCCACCAGGGAGGCCCTCTTGAGCAAGATTTGATGAGCTTCTTGGCTCAATACCTTGAGGTGGGGGGAAGGCTTTGTGCTGACCTGCACCCTTATCTTACCATACATCTCTCTGGTATGGGTGTATGAGTTGTATCCTTTGCAATAAACTGGTGAATATAAGTAATGTGTATCTGAATTCAATCAGTCCTTCTAGCGAGTCAAACTTGAGGAGGATTCTGTAAGAACCCAAATTCACATCAGTCAGAAGCATAACCTGGGCATTCACTACTCGTGATTGGTATCCGATAGAGGGGCAGTCTCTGGACTAAGTGCTCAACCTGTGGGGTCTGTGCTAACTCTAGGTAGTTAGTATCAGAACAGGATTACACTGCTGGATAAGTATCTACACGCAATTGGAGAAGCACTTGGCCTGGGAAAAGCACATTTAGGGGGCCTCCCTGGTGGCGCAGCAGGTTGAGCACAGTGCTGTGAAGCTGTCCGCAGCCTCTGCAGCGCGGGTTAGATTCCTGGCTGACCAGGGAGATTCCCACATGGCGTGGCAAACCTCTCCTATGGAGCCCGCTGCTCCCCTCAGCAGAGCTTTTGGTCTGTCTGCCTGTTCTGCTCCCCACTCTTGTCTCCGGTGAATCCTCTCACCTTCCCGCACCTCTGGCCTACTGTACCCCAGCTATTGTATAAATTAAAAATAAAAATCTTTTAAAAAAATAAACTCTTCATTGGTGACTGTCAATTAAAAAAAAAATTACATGATAGGAGTGTCCGAGAAACTGTTAATAGTCGGGTTACCCTGGATATCCGGATGGGTTGTAATCACAATGGCCCTTGAGGAATTCAGTGTCAATCAGAGGGAGTAGGGATGTGATGACAGGACTCAAAGTGGCACACTCAAGAAGAAAGGATACCAAGACCGCAAGTGAAGAAACATGAGGGCTACTTACCACCAATAGCTTGACTTGAACCCTCTGGAAGTGTTGGACTTGTTTCTGCAGAACTGAAAATAAACTTTTTTTTTTTAAAGATTTATTTATTTATTTATACAAGCACTGGGTATAGTCAGAAGCACGAGAGGGTGAGAAAATTCACCAGAGCCAGAGCGGGGAACAGAACAAGGCAGACCGACAAAGTACACTGCTGAGAGGAACAGCGGGTGGCAGGAGAGGTCTGCGAGCCATGTGGGACCCTCACCTGGTGGCCAGGGATCGAATGGGTGCGCAGAGGCTGCGGGCAGCTTCGCAACCCAGCGCTCAACCGCAGCACCACTGGGGAGACCCTAAACTTTTCTTTTAACCCACAAAGTTTGCCATCAGGAAACCCACACAGGTGTTTGGGGACACTGAAGAAGCAGGACCTCAGGCTGGAGTTCCTGGCCTTGAAGTGTTCTTGACCAGCAGGTCTGCCTAAGCCCTGCACAGGTGCATCAAGGCTGTAAGAACTAGAAAGGACATGTCAGGGGTGGGGATGTGGATTCCATTTTCTAGAACATTGCAAAGGAGAGTGGTTCTAAGAGTGAACAGGAGATCCCTGGTGTCCCTAAGATTCCTTACATGTGTCTGTGAAGTGATAGCAATTTCTCATGCTACCTCTTAAGATACTGTGTTTTCATGCTCATGAGTGTAGATGAGATTTCCAGGGGCCAATGGATTGAATGTTGAAGCAAATACCATTTTTCTCCCAAAAATATAATTAACATGGAATGGCTTATCATCTTAAAATATTTAATTTCTTGGTCTTAGTACAGTAGATATCAATAGACATAATCCACATTAAAAATTTCATCTCTTTAATAATTTGACCATGAAGGGCTCAAGACCACAAAAAACATAGGGAGATGTCTTGAGGCCATTTTGCTAACAATCGTAATTCTTTTATGGAGACACTGTATATTGTCTGAATCTTTTCCAATTAAAGTTATTTACCAATGGAAGTGACTATACCTCTTTAAGTCACTAAGTTCTTGTGACTGGTCCGTATTGATATCTCCCTAACTGTACCAATATCTCTTAAAATTGGTTTTTAAGATTAAGATTCAATCCAGGACTTTACATTCCATCTGGATGTCTCCACCATCCTTTCTCTACTGAACATGGAGGTCTTTTCCCAAGCTGTTATGAAGCTACTCCACTCTTTGTGACACATTATACCCACTGTATGCACATCAACTACTTTGTTCCTCACTGATGAACTATTAATGTTGTAATGAACATCCTTATACATACCCAAGTTCTGGTCTAATTATAGAGATAAACCAAATTTTCCAACACACCCAAGGTACTCTAGTACTAAGCTCAGATCCTGGCAAATCCCAATACCTGATCTTCCTGCATCATGATACATGGATCTGTGGAGTGAACATGGTGCTCTGCACTCCAGAGCAGTGCTTTCTCGCTCCTGGGTAAACTACGTAGAATGAAGTCAGCACAGTAGGTACCAGTCACATGGTGGGGAGGAGATGGGACATTTAGGTTGGCAGACGGCATGTACAAAAATTAAAGCAGGAAAAACAGCCCAATTTGAGGAATAACCATGGGGATATAATGTTCAGTATGGTGACAAGTAAATGGATCTGTATTGTCTAGTTAAAATTCCCAGGACCTTAAAAATTTTCATCACAAGGAAAAATTCTTGTATTTATTGGACACTAGCTAACCTGGTTTTCTGTATGTTTTAGCAAGTATTATAGGTATGTGTTTTGTTAGAAATGATCACCTCAGTCTTTTATTAGAAATTAAGATATTTCTTGGCAACTTTCCAACACAATTAGTAGTCACCATGCTGTGTTACACTTCCATAACATGCTGTAACTGGAAGTTCACACCTTCTTTCCATCTTCACCAATCTATTTTGACTGTGGTCGAAGATTAACTAGACTTGTGATCATTTTTTAAAATATACAAATATTGAAACATGTTATATACCTGTAACTTATACTCTATGTCAATCAGAAAATTACCAAGCACTGACAAGAAGTGTAAATTTTGGTAGGGTGCAAAACATTAACAATCCCTGTCTTTTAATGAGTGGCTTTTATTTTTTTTTTAAGATTTATTTATTTAGGGCCTCCCTGGTGGTGCAGCGGTTGAGCGCTGGGTTGCGAAGCTGCCCGCACGCAGCCTCTACAGCACGGGTTTGATCCCCAGCTGCTCCCCGGCCACCGGAGGAGGGTCCCACATGGCGTGCAGACCTCTCCTGCCGCCCGCTGGTCCCCTCAGCAGTGTACTTCGGTCCTTCTGCCTGTTCTGCTCCCTGCTCTGGCTCTGGTGGATTCTCTCACCCTCCCGCGCTTCTGACTGTACCCAGTGCATGTATAAACAAAACAAACAAACAAACAAACAAATAAAACATGCCTCTATTAAAAAAAAAAAAAAAAAAAAACTGGGATATAGGCCAGAGGTGTGTGGGGGTGAGAGGATTCACCAGAGACAGTGTGGGGAACAGAACAAGCAAACTGACTGAAATACACTGCTGAGGGGAGCAGCAGGTGAGACAGGAGAGGTCTGCTGTGCTATTTGTGTTGCTCCCTGGCTGGGGATCGAACTTGTGCTGCAGTGGCTGTGGAGAGCTTCATAGGTTGTGTTTTAACCCTTGTGCCACCAGGGAGGCCCAACGAGCAGCTTTAAGATAGTGATATATTGACACAATGGACAAATCTACAACTATTGAACCACGCATAAAACCAGGTATTATGTTAACAAGCATTTTGTGTAACACTTTAGAAAAAGCAAAACTAGAATTATCAGTAGTTGCCTGGAGTTGGCTTTAAAACATGCAGGAACTTTGGAGTAGGTGGTACTTGCCACTTTGTGACAGCCACTTGTCACAAAAATGCACAAACTGGATTTCATGTACAAAATCATGTATCAATAAAACCAACTGAAAAAGAAAACCATGAGAGCCCTTCATCGTTCATCTATTGGCAAGAACTTGTTTAACGACCCATTTTTTATGGGGACTTCTATATATTATTTTCAGTAAAAACCCTACAGAGGGCAGTTTAGCACAACTTACTAAAATTAAAATATGAGGCTCTTTTCATTCAGCAAATAATTCTCACCTGTTTATTTGCTCATCCGCACAGCTGAGGTTGACTGCAACACTGCACTTAATTCATAGTTAACAATGGAAACTAACCTTTCTGGGTAGTAACATATACAGCATGAGGGATTTTGGTTAAAACAAGCGGAAGATAATTATACTGTTCTTTACTGTGTATGCTTTAAAACAAGCTAGATTTTACAAGAAACAGCAACATTCAGTTAGGACTGAAAACCTGTCAGGAGCCCAGTTTCTCTTCCTCGTACAGATGCGCTTGTTCAGCATGGATTGGGGAATGTCATAGTGTCTGAAAAGCCAGACACTAAGTAAGAATGCCAACCTAAAGCTGATGAAGAGGTTCCAACTCAGTGCACAGCACCCTGTCCCATCAACCCCATTCCCCTCAGTGGAGTCCATTAATCTGACCCAGCTACACCACCAGGCAAATTTGAAAAAAAAAAAGACAAAAGAAATTATCATTATTTAATTAGATTCTTTGCAGGAAACTTAGAACACCAACTTGTGAGGATAAATTCCATTGGTGAGAGCAAACACAGAGCGGAGGTAGCCCTGCAGCTGGGGAACAGCTTTGATTTTTGGCAGAATTTGCGAGTCCACAGCTTTTTGATCCACCTTGCGCTGCTCTGTAATCTCGTATTTCTAAAGAAAAAGAAAATCATTTAGAAAACTAGGGCACAAATACCAAATTCTCCAACCCCCCCCCCCCGCCAAAAAAAAAATCCTCACAAATAAGTCAATCCCAGTAATATTTGGGGGTTGAAGGCAATTCTGTGTTTTTTTTTTTTGTGGGACCCTCGCCGGTGGCTGGGGATCGAACTGGCGCTGCAGAGGCTGCGGGCAGCCTCGCAACCCAGCGCTCAAACGCTGAGCCACCAGGGGAGGGGGCCCCTGAAGGCAATTCTGAAAAGCTTTTCCTTGAAAAGCCGTGAAATAAAATTCCCTTTTATTATACAAAAACATATTACCCTCTGGTCAACTTTAATGCAAAGAGAGCTGAGCGTGCATTCCCAACAGAGCAAGAGCAATAACTCTTTAACTGCACCAAAACCACAATCTCAGCTGAGATTCCAGTTACCATTAGGAGGTACTGAATTTGGGAACACACTATTTTTTAAATATGCCTCATTATTATGTATCTTTTTGGGTTAAACACTCTTAATCCTATTTTCATCCCTAGCGAGGGGAGCCAGAGCTATCAGCGGCAAAGACAGAAACAGAAGCTTACCTCCTTCTCTGTGTCGAAGATCTCACCTTCCTGGTGTCGGGGCTTACGCAGCTTCTTCTTCTTGAAGTAAGCATCAGTGAGATGTTTGGGGATCTTCACACCACTGATGTCAATTTTGGTAGAAGTGGCAATGACAAATTTCTGGTGTGTCCTACGCAGAGGAACTCGATTGAGGGACAGAGGTCCTAAGGCCAAAAAGGGAAAGAATCAATATATCAAAGAGGTTAAATCAATCATTTTAGAAATGACTTTGGAGAAATCTCATGAGTATAATTTGTTATTTCTCTGTATCTCAAGAAATTCCAAATTGCTCTCTCTACTACTAACACCCAGAACCTGGCAGTATTTCAGTTTGTCCAAGGTTGTATGGCCCGTGCCCCTCAAAAGCTGGTCACTTTTCCTAAGTAAACCAAGTTGGAACCAGCATAATCATTTATACAGGTTGGTCAAAATCACAAGGCCCTGATACCAAATTTGAGTATTGCCTGCCAGAGTGAAGTTTACTTTTCAGAACTGCTCAGCAATACCTTCCTTTCTTTTTTAAAGATTTATTGGGCCAGACAGGAGAGGTCTGCTGCGCCACGTGGGTCAGCTCCTGGCTGGGGATTGAACTCATGCTGCAGTGACTGTGGATAGCTTCATAGTGCTGTAACTTAACCCCTTGAGCCACCAGGGAGGCCCCCAGCAATACTTTCTTAATGCTTAGTGGTTGACCATTCTGCATTTTAAGCAGCAGTTACTAGTGACACTGCCACACAAAAATTTACCTACTTCTCAGGAACTCATGTGTATACACAGCAAAGAAATAGGGCACAGAATTCTCATGCCACCGTAAACTTCCATGCAGGTGCAAAAGGATAGTTTTTTAAGAGAATATAAAATTGATTTTCTTACCAGTCACAAGTAGCAAGCCACTGCCCAGCTGCTTCAAGAAAACCACCCTCTGAAAATTAAGCAGAAATGCTAATTCTATAACTGGAAACTGAATTCTTGGTTAATCAAATCATAGGCTTGAAACTGGCAAAGAAAATTTCTCATTCTCAGCAGTTTTAAAAGCAACTATACCAAAACAAGGGTGAGCTATTAAAAGTACTACATACTTTTAATAAAAACAACCCTCCCCCCCTTAAAACTAATTTTACTTCCTGCAAGTCTACCCTAAGGAATTGACTCAAAATACATGAACATTTTCAGATATGGTACGTGAATCATGTACTAATACATCAATAGGAGAAAATATAACAGATTATTGTGTATTATGGACTAAATACTTCATGTTAGTGACTGGGTAGTTGGTAGTGTTAGGCCACTCTACCTCCCCCCCCGTTGTCCCCCTGAAACTCTATAACCTGGCAGATACACTAAGATCAGGCAGTCCAGGCACCCGTGAAGCCAGGTGCTCTACTCACCTTGCCTCTGTGACGCCCTGTTAGGATGATCAGAATGGTCCCGGGAGTGATGCTAGCTCGCAGTTTCCTGACATGCTGACTGAATGGTTTTTTGCCATGGCTCAACAGCTTTCGGGGCACATCTTCAGTAGGATAGTATCTAGGCTGTAGAGAGCCAAGGGGTTCAACTTATTTAAATGCCACATTTCGATTAGTAAAACTAATTATGACAGTTGAAATCTTTGCTAGAACCTTTTTACATATTTGAAAAGCTTTATTTACACTATTGCATTTTTATTTCTCCTAAGCAGATCTTCAAATGGAAATGATCAACAATGCTTCTATATCACTCACTAGCAATATAGGATGGAATCCATTTCACTGAGGAAGCTGTATGATTAAAAAATACCCAAAGCACGAAGCAAGTTGCCATCTTAAACTCAGAATAAAACTAAACTATGACAAGGCAAGCCATCGCACTACAGTGTCACGTACAACCATACATGAGTGACAGTAATTCTCGAGCTTTTCTGAGTTCCCTAACCTGTACTAAATTACCTCCCCCCAACATGTCATGGAGGTATGGTTGTTTTCCCATTCAAATTAAGTGTTCACATCCCTACCACTTCCTCCCATTGTCATACACCACTTTCAATTCAGATCAGGACTGTTAGCTCACTGACTATAAGACGATGCCAGCCAAAACTACCGAGGCTATGACAATAACTCATTTCTAACTGCATATCAGTGTAGTGGACAGTTTTGCCTTTCCCAAAAACTAGTAATACCTAGTAGGAAAACTAACCCTCAGAACAGTGACAAGGCAATCAAAGTGTGGCCCTCCTGATGGTGCAGTAATTTTGACGTGTCAACATGTGATATATCTGAGACTATTTCCTTAATTCATATCACAGCAAAAGCTAGGTCTTGGTCATGGCAGAACAAGAAACATCACTCCAAAGGATAAATTCTAATAGACCTGGCAGCATCACAAGCTTTCAGCATGTCTTCACTTAATTTCACAACGCTGTGCAGGAACCTTTATTCCTGTTGCACACACAAAAACCCCTAAGCACACAGAAGTAGCTACTTAATGTTTAAGTTGCAAATCCAGGCCCCATTATCCTTATAAACAATTCTAAGACCGGAGTATACCTAAAGGAAATACATCTTCACACTATTCCAGTTTCTAGTAAACATCCCATTTATAGTCTCTCCCGGCCCTTACCATTTTGCGAAGTTTAACTACTCGGGTACCGCCATTCTTGTCACCACCAACTGGTTTTGTGACTGTAGCCAGAACCTTCTCCTTCTTTTTCTTTTCAATCTGTCGGGACACAAATGAAAGAAAAGTCATGACATGCTGACAGTCAGAGGCAGGTAAAAAATTTAATATGAAGAGATATTAAAGAGATCTGCTCAACAGTGCCCCTCTCCCTTACCCTAGATTTAGCTGCTGAGTACTTCCTCTTGTACATGGCCTTTCTGGAATACATAGCAGATCGGGAATATCTGCCAATTCCTCTCACTAGGACAGGGTTTCGGCTGCAGTGGGGCTTCCCCTTCTTAGGGGTTTTGCCCTTGCCCTTGGCCTTCTTAACCTTGCCACCAGCATCAGCTTTCTTGGCTGCAGGTTTCTTCTCCTTAGGAGGCGCCTTCTCACCCTTTTCGCCCGCCATCTACCAACACATTTAAAAAAAAAAAAAAAAAAAGGTCATTTCACTCATCATCCCGTAACAGGCAATTTATCTAAAATGCACATTGATGAACCTACCCAGAGAAAGCCCCCACCCTTCGCCCTCACTGTCACATCGTTTTTATTCTTCCCCCCACGCGCTGTTAAGATAAAAGCTGTCTTCCTCCAAAACATGATACACTTTTGGAGGTGCTGAAGATCTCTTTACCCCCATTAGATCTTTGCTAGTGATCAATTAAGTGGTCGAAAGCCCCCACGGCATTCGGATTCCTGTCCTGCACGCCGTAACTTCCAACAAACCCCCACAGCCAGGAAGCAGCGAGGTTGGAACTTGCCAAGGGTTTGCTTCCAGGGCCCTTTTCCCCTGACTGCGCCCTCATTCCAGGCGTTCGGCTCACGAGTCGGGGTCACACGCGCGCGCGCACAGAGCTCAGGCCGAGGAAAGCGAAAAGTCCAAGCGGCGACTTCCGGTCGCGCCGGGAAAGCGCCTGTGGCGTCAGCCCTGAATCCCAACGTGGCTGAGACAAACTCAGCGACGTCTTCTGGAACTCCGGCCCAGGATTCCCGAGCGTGAGCGCGGCGCTACCGGCCCCTCCGCGCCCACAAGCCTGCTACGGGTCCTCGGAGGGGCTTCGTCCCCGCCGTCCAGGAGGGTGGCGAGCCGCCGCAGACCGGGAGTGAGCCCCTACGGCATTCCACCTCCCCCTCTTCGTGCCCTACCGCAAAGCCAAGCGAGAGAAATGAAGCTTCTAGGAGGCCTCTCAGATGGCCCCGAGCATGTCCGACCCCTGCCAATGTCGACTCGATATCCTCCTAGTTCGGATGGCGAAGGATTCGGGTCTTGAAACCGAGTCTTGCAGAGAGGGCCCGCCATTCTTACCTTGCAAGATGGGAAAGAGAATTAGGGCCCCAGTTTCCGGTCTATAAGCAATGACGGGCGGTGTCGCGTCCCACTTCCTTCCGGACCTGGGGCATCATGGGAAATGTAGTCCTTTATTGAAACTACTGTATGGTGAGCTGTTTTTCCTAATAAAAGCCAGAAAAGAAGGACATGCCGGCTAAGACTATTTCGTTTTATAAACCAACAAGGTTCTCAAAATACGTTTTGGAACTGACATAAAGTTACAACTCTTTGTTTTGCTTACTATGGACCTTAGCACACACTACCATTTCCAATTTAATAAGGGGTACTTAATCCCTTATTTAATTCTTCCAAATCCAACACAAAAGCCAACTTTCCTAAATCTCCCAGAAGGAATAATTTCCAATTACTCATTTTCCTGTTTGCTTTTCTGTTTGTTGTGTTGGGGATATTTAATCCCCAAGTAAAGTGAAATCTTTCATATAAAATGTTAATTAGGAGCTTTCCACGGACATTTTCTTCACTATTGGGGTAGTGCCTATACCCCACTTATCAGACAATAGACTATGCTGTACCGCAGAGCATCAGCAGAGATTGCACTGAAAATGAGTAAAACAGGGCCTCCCGGGTGGCGCAGCGGTTGAGCGCTGGGTTGCCAAGCTGCCCGCAGCCTCTGCAGCTTGGGTTCCATCCCCGGCAGCAGGGCGAGGCTCCCACATGGCGCGCAGACCTCTCCTGCTGCCCGCTGCTCCCCTCAGCAGTGTGCTTCGTCGGTCTGCCTGTTGTGCTCCCCGCTCTAGCTCTGGTGAATTCTCTCACCCTCCCGCTCTTCTGACTGTACCCCAGTGCTTGTATGAATAAATAAATAAATCTTAAAAAAAAAAAAAATGAGTAAAATAGGGCCTCCTTGGTGGCGCAGGGGTTAAAGACACAGCACTATCAAGCTGTCCCTAGCCACCATTGCACAAGTTCAATCCCAGCCGGCCAGGGAGCCGACCCACAGGGCGCAGCATACTTCTCCTGTCTCGGGACTGCTCCCCTCAGCAGTGTATTTCAGTAGATCTGCCTGTTCTGCTCCCCTTTCAGTCTCTGGTGTATCCTCTTACCCCCACATACCTCTGGCCTACACCCCAGTTCTTGTATGCACAAATAAATAAATAAATCGCAAAAAAAAAAAAAAAAAGAAATGTAACGATTTCACTGGAATCCTTTGAGCTATGATGAATGCAGAGTTGCCTTGCTTGCTGAAACATATAGCTTCTGAACAGGTCTGCTTTCCATACACATTAAGGATGGGTGTGCTTAAATAGGCTGCATTTTATGCCAGTTTTGGATTATTCACTATGCAGGTATGTAACATGCCCAAGAAAAGGTCTAGGCTGGATTTTTGTTGAAAATGCACAGTCAGCAGATTTATTTGTTCAGCTTCCTGAGCCAAAGCACTTCTGAGAAACTGCTGCTTTATATCAGAATTAATGAAATACAGAATTGCCTACTTGAGTTGCTCAAAAATTCTGACAATCTCAGAGACTGTCACCTGGTAATTGCCCTCAAATACTTGTAAAATAACCTACTATGGAAATAAACACATAAGTGAACCCCCTCTTGTGTTTTCTTGTGGTATTGCAAAGCTTACTATTGGGCAAAACACCAATCTGTTATATTAGTATTAACATTTTTATAATAGTAAACATTATTATTAAGCATTTGGTTTTGCCATGTACAAAATGTTCTTAAATCTGTGCAATACTTTATTAAACAGACATTTGTCTACACTCAATACCACCTTCCTGTGAGTTAGGCATTTAAGATGAAAGAACTGAAGCTCATTTGCAATAAATGACTTATCCAAGGTCACATACATATTGAATCAACCCAGCAAGAGGTCTTTGGAAACTCTTGGTTATAATTTCAGATTATGTGAGGGAGTGGCCGTATAAATGAAGCTGAACAGTAAGCTGAACAGTAAGTTAATATCTAGAAGCAGCTGCTATGCTGGAAGGATTTTAACTTGTGGTAAAACTTACCTCTTAGAGTAGGAGAATGACATAATTAAATTGGTATTCTAGAAAGACCATTCTAGCTGCAGAGTGTGCAGGATATGGGAAAGACTGGAGAAGCAATGTCTTATGTACTCAAAGATTTTACAGTTTACTTTAGAAAAGAGACAAATGATAACTAGCATTTATCAAATGTTTGCTTTGCCAGGCATTATTCTAAGTACCTCATAAACATTAATTCTCATTCTTTACAACCTACCCCATGAAGTATACAGTGTTTTTTTTTTTTTTAATAGAGGCATGTTTTATTTATTTATTTATTTGTTTGTTTGTTTGTTTTGTTTATACATGCACTGGGTACAGTCAGAAGTGCGGGAGGGTGAGAGAATTCACCAGAGCCAGAGCAGGAAGCAGAGCAGGCAGAAGGACCGAAGTACACTGCTGAGGGGAGCAGCGGGCGGCAGGAGAGGTCTGCGCGCCATGTGGGACCCTCCTCTGGTGGCCGGGGAGCAGCCGGGGATCGAACTGGCGCCGCAGAGGCCGCGGGCAGCTTCGCAACCCAGCGCTCAACCGCTGCGCCACCGGGGAGGCCCTGAAGTATACAGTGTTTTTATCACACCATTTTACAGAGAAAAAGACCGAGACACAAAGAAGTCAAGTGACTTATCTAACACAACCAGGCAGGTAGGCTGAGCTTTGGAGAGCAAGAACTTGGTTCCTCTGTTAAACACTGTGTCTCAGGTTTATAATGGGATGTGTTAGGTTCTAAGCTAGGATAGGTGTCATGGGAAACATGTAACTTGGACTGGGAGAATCAAGTAGAGCTTTCTACCCCGGTGGAAATGACTTCTAGTCTGAGGTCTGAGGCATAAATTAGAGTTTATGGGGAGGGAGTGAGTCAGGTGAACCCTTCACGGATATAGGAAGCAGATTGTGTAAAGGCCTTGTGCTGGGACAGAGCTTGGCCTAAAGAGGGGAACTGAACGTCTTTCAACATGGCTGGGTCACAGAAAGAGGTGAGTGGTGGGAAAAGGGTGCTGGTAAAAGTGAGTGGGGACCATAGCAGGTAGTTGTTAAAATTTTGGCTTCATCCTCAAAAGCAAGGAGAAACAAATTGAGGTGTTCAGTGTCGGGGGTGATAAGTTTAGCATCTTAGATTATCCTAGCTATTGCATGGACAATAGATGAGAAAGGGCAAGCCTGCAGGACTAAGATCAGTTGGGATGCTGTTTGAGTCATTTAGGTGGCCAGGATTTACGGGAAATGGAAAGAAACAGGCTTGGTAACTGCATTTAAATGTCTACTACTTAAATTAAGTTGGTATATATATATATTTTTTAAAAGATTTATTTATTTATTTATTTATACAAGCACTGGGTACAGTCAGAAGCATGGGAAGGTGAGAGAATTCACCAGAACCAGAGCGGGGAGCAGAACAGGCAGACTGACAAAATACACTGCTGAGGGGAGCAGCGGGCGGCAGGAGAGGTCTGCGCGCCATGTGGGACCCTCGCCCGGTGGCCGGGGATCGAACTGGCACTGCAGAGGCTGCGGGCAGCTTTGCAGCCCAGCGCTCAACCGCTGCACCACCGGGGAGGCCCCTTAAGTTGGTATATATTAAAGGCAATTTTTGTAAGGAGCACATCTGTGCTGAAGCAGTTAGCACAACTTATAAGAGTTATTTGTATAGGAGTGAGATGGGAGGAAAGAAGATAATTTGGAGGTGCACAGATGTGGGCTTGAATTCAGGCTCAGCCACTCACTAGGTCTGTGGCCTTTAATAGGTAATATGGGCATTAATCAGGTGAATCTACCTGCTCAATCTGGTCTGAGCCATTATTATCTCTAGCCAGAAATACACAGTATTTTAGTTTTCTTCCCTTGTCCTCTTCTCTGACTTCTCACAGAGTATTCAAAGTATAATTAATTTTAAAAATATTTCATTTATTTTTGTATAGAAGAACTGGGGTGTAGGCCAGAGGTGCTGTGGGGAGGTGTGGGTGAGAGGATTCACTAGACACAGAGTCGGGAGAAGAACAGGCAGATTTACTGGAATAAGGGGAGCAGCTAAGGGGAGCAGCAGGTGAGACAGGAAAGGTCTTCTGTGCCATGTGGGTTAGCTCCCTAGCTGGGAATCAAACTCAGGTCATAGCGGTGATAGCACTGAGACTTAACCCCTAGGCCACCTGGTATACTCAAGTATACGTCAAAAATATAGATTATATTCCTCTGTTGAAGATTTTTTTTTTAATTTTATAGAGGCATGTTTTATTTGTTTGTTTGTTTGTTTGTTTTGTTTATACATGCACTGGGTACAGTCAGAAGCGCGGGAGGGTGAGAGATTTCACCAGAGACAGGGCAGGGAGCAGAACAGGCAGACAGAGGGAAGACACTGCTCTTCATGTCCCCAACAACTCTGCTAGAGTCAGAGACCTCTTTATTGTTCTTCAAATACAGGAGGTAACCTCTTGCTTCAGGGCCTTGGCACTTGCCTCCCCCTATGCTTGAAATACTAGTCCTCTGAGTTATTTCACTGTTCCTGTATCAGATCTTTGTTCAAAAACCATCCTCTGCGAAGCCTTCCCTAACAACCTTATATTAAGTGGTAATATAAAAGGCTATGGACAAAAAAACAAAAAGGGAGGATGGGAGTACTATCTTGATTTTTTTTTTTTTACTTGTTTTAATTGCTCTAGCTCCTCCCATGAGAACACAGACATATTTGTCTTTTCAGTCCTCTCTTGTATCCCTATAGTCTAGAAGTGCCTTGCAAGTAGAAAACACCTAACAGATATCTATTATATAGCTAAAAATTACAAAGCACTTACTAAATAGACCAGACTTAGTTCTAAGCATCTTACACATTGAATCTTGACAGTAAACCTGTGGCGAAAATACGAGCACTCTCTTCATTTTACAGAAATGAGGAATGGATGAAACTGAGGCTCAGAGAAATTAAGCAACCTTCCTAAGGTTACCAAGTTAGTAAGTGGCAAGTGGCGCGGCGATTTGTGGAAGGAAATGAATGAACTTCGATTTGGCCGTCAGCTCAGGGGTGGAAATGGACACGGTGGGAGCGGTTGCGATGGGTGGGCGGGCGGCCGCGCGTACAACGTTATGCACACAGCGCTAACGTCTGCAGCTGAAGTCTGAAGGGGGACGGGCAAGTGCTTTGAGAGCTGCGTGGCCGCGGTTTTGTCGAGCCCCCGAACTACCTGCCATTCCCAGCGGGCACTCAGCCCCCAGCCCAATGGAAGCAGGAAGTGGCAGCGGGTGTCGCGCGGGTGACGTCACGGAGGCGCCGCCGGAGAAGGGCCGGGGAGGAGGAGGAGCGAACCGGGCTTGAGGGGCGGCAGCACAGTCTCCGGGATCCCCAGGCCTGGAGGGGGGTCTGCGCGCGGCCGGCTGGCTCTGCCCCGCGTCCGGTCCCGAGCGGGCCTCCCTCGGGCCAGCCCGATGTGACCGCGCCCAGCGGAGCCTGAGCAAGGAGCGGGTCCGTCGCGGAGCCGGAGGGCGGGAGGAACATGACATCGCGGAGGTGAGGAGCCCCGAGGGGCCCGGCCCGGGCCTCGGCCCGGCCCCCGCCGGGATCGGTCAGCCCGGCCCGGGAGGGGGCGCCCGGCCGGACTTCGGACTCCCGCCGCGGGCCGGGGGGCCAGGCTCCCTCCCGACCTCCTCGCCCTCCGGGGCCGGGATCGGGCCCCGCCGCGCCCCCACCCCTTGGGTCCCCATTCATTTCCTGCCTCCCCGAGTTCCGGCTCCTGCTGTCCGGGGATGCCCGTCAGGACGGGGGCAGGTAGAGCCGCCGGGGGAACCGCGGACGCCAGCGGCCGGGCTCGGCGCCGCATTCCTGACCCATTGCCTCATGAGAATTGCCTCATGGTGATTCCGAAATAACCCCGCTCATTTGGGGAGGCTCCTCGGCCCGGGAAGCGGGAGGGTAGAGGGGGCGATGCGTGGAGCCGGGCCCTGGACCGACCGTGAGGCTACTCTGGGTCGCGCGCACAATCGGGGGCTTCACTCTGGTTCCCAGACCCCCGGCCAGGCTTCTCCGCATCTCCTTCCCCCACCCCCTCACGTGCCAGAAATGGAAAAACTGACGGTATCTGCAGCTATTAGAAGTATTTCCTTCCTCCGCGATCTTCGCTTTGGGAGGCGGGAGGGAAGGGAGCTGTCTCTCTAGTTATTTAATGCTTCACCACAACCTTAAAAGTCAGGTAACATTTATCATTCCCGCTTTATGGATGTAGAAACTGAGGTTCAGCAGTTACATGCTAGCAAATGACACGGTTTGAACCTAAGAGTCAGAGAAGGATTAGCGAATTAATGAGATCTTTTGAAAGTTCAGGGTAATAGTACTACTAATAGCCAGTATTTACGTGGCTCGTACTGAAACCACACATTTCATCCTCACATCAACCGCATGAGGTAGATAGTATTATCCCAGTTTTCAAGATGAGTAGACCGAGTTTCGGTAGTTAGGCAACTTGTTTAAGGTCACTCAGCTAATAAGTGGTGGAGCCAGAATCCCCACTGTTAATCATCCCGTTGCTGTTATTCTTTTATAACTATTGCTAATCATTTGTAAGCCTCAATTTTGTTGTTAAACAGTAGTGTGACCCATTGTTTTTAGATAATGATCTTGCTGTCTTGTATCACCACTCTTTATGTAAGATTCACACATAAGGCTCATTGTGGAGTCTTTGATTGTCTTGTTTAGGGTGGTCACTGTCTTAGGTATTTGAAAGGTTGTTTCACACTGTTAGGGTTATTTGAATGAGAGACTTTTCAAAATATAACATCTTCTCAAAACACACCTGCATGCTATTCTTTCGTGGGTCTGGAGCTGTAAGACTAGAAAAAACTGAAAACTTTTAGGAAGTGAGTGATTTGGACAGTTCTGTTGGCAAGGGTTTACAGATCTGGGTAATATATAACTGCATTTCAAAACAACAGTGTATAACCTCAAGTGTATAACCTCAAATGTTCTCATTCTTTAAGGAGTTTTTAAGTTGTCTATTCTTTAATCTGTCACATAGTCATTGAGCCTTTTGTTCCTTGTGTCTGCTCTTCCAGACAAGTGAGAATCTGCTTCTTTAGGAGACAAAGACTGGCTGGGGGTGGGGAAGGGGCTGCTGGTAATAAACCCTACATTGTCCAGCTTGCTTAGAATTGGGGAAGGGTGGTTGTAGCCAAAGAAGCAGTGGCAAAGAGCACAGTTTGAAATGGAGAGAAACCTTTCCCACCTCCCAGCACCTCTCCTCCAGTTCTCCCTTACTCACCTGTGATGAAAGAGAAATGTGGCCATCTGAAAAGTCAGATGATGAACACGACACACATGATTGAGAATTCATTATTTTCCATATAGTAGGTTTGCTTATTTATTTTTTAACCAGCTTTATTGAGACATAAATTTAGGTGTGCCATTTGGTAAATTTTGACATCTGTATCCATTTGTGAAACCATTGCCACAATCAAGATAATGGTCACTTCTTGTGATACATTTTTTTGTGTCCTTTCGAATCCCTTCCTTCTTGTCAGGCACTTACTGTTCTGCTTTCTGTTACCACACATTAGTTTGCTTTTCCTGGAATTTTATACAAGTGGAATTTTTATGTCTGGCTTCATATATTCAGCGTAATTATGTTGTGATGCATCCTTGGCTGTAGTTTGTGTGAAATAGCTCATGTCTTTTTACTGCTTTGTAACATTCCATTGTATGTCTGTGCCTCTATTTGTTTATCTACCCACCTGTTGAAGGACATTTGGATTGTTGCCAGAGTTTGACTATTGCAGAAAAGGCTGCCCCTTGGCCCATCCTGTATAGTGTTTGTGTGACATAGAATTTGTTTCTCTTCAGTACTTATCTGCTGGTGGCATAGCTGGATCATATGGTATATATATTTCACTTTGTCAGAAGTTGTCAATGTTTTCCAAAGTGGTTATACCATATATATTCCTCCCAGCTGTGGATGAGAGTTACAGTTTTTCCACATCCTTGTCAGCACTTACTGTGATCAGCTCCCCCTGTTCCCCCCATTTTAGTGGGTGTGTTGTAGGATCTCATTGTAGTTTTATTTTTCCCCTCCTGTTTAATAATGTTGATCATATTTTCATGTCCTTGTTTCCCATCTGTGTATCTTCTTTGGTGACATCTCTCTCTCTTTTTTAAAGATTTATTTATTTATGCATACAAGAACTGTGGTGCAGGCAAGGTGGGGGGGAGGTGAGAGGATTCACCAGAGACAGAGTGGGGAGCAGAACAGGCAGATCTACTGAAATACACTGCTGAGGAGAGCAGCCGGAGAGACATGTGGGTCAGCTCCCTGACAGGGGATCAAATTTGTACTGCAGTGGCTGCGGATAGCTTGGTAGTGTTGTGACTTAACCCCTTGCACCACAAGGGAGGCCCCGACATATCTCTTTAATCAAATATTCCCTACCTTTTACTTGTTTTTCATTCTTACTATTGAGATTTGAGAATTCTTTATTCTGGATAAAAGTCCTTTATCAGAATTGGAGTATTTCTCTTAGTTTGGGATAGCTTTTCATTTTTCAAATAGTATCTTCTGAAGAACAGAAATTTTTAACTTTGATGATATCCATTTTATCAATTTTAAAAAATGGATCATGCTTTTGGTGTTATTTCCAAGAAATCTTTGCCTAACATAAGGCCTCGAATGTTTTTTGCCTTATACAAGTTTTTTAGTTTTAGGTTTATGAGCCACTTTGAGTTAATTTTTGTATATGGTGTGAGGTATAGGTACATGTTCTCTTTTTCACATATGAATATCAGTTCTAGCACCATTTGTTGAAAAGATTATTTTTTATTATTCTTTCTTTCTTTTTTTAAGATTTATTTATTTATTTTATACAAAAACCGTGGTACAGGCCAGATGCGCAGGAGGGTGAGAGGATTCACCAGAGACAGAGCAGGAAACAGAACAGGCAGACTGACGAAATACACTGCTGAGGGAAGCAGCGGGCACAATAGGAGAGGTCTGCTGTGCCATGTGGGACCCTCGCCGGCGGGCCGGGATTGAACCTGTGGTGCAGAGGCTGCAGACAGCTTTACAGCACGGCACTCAACTGCCTTCGCCACCAAGGGAGGCCCAAGATTATTATTATTTTTTTTTTTTTAAAGATTTGTACATTTATTTATTTATACAAGCACTGGGTACAGTCAGAAGCATGGGAGGGTGAGAGAATTCACCAGAGCCAGAGCAGGGAGCAGAGCAGGCAGAAGGACCGAAGTACACTGCTGAGGGGAGCAGCGGGCGGCAGGAGAGGTCTGCGCACCACGCGGGACCCTCCTCTGGTGGCCGGGGAGCAGCCGGGGATCGAACTGGAGCCACAGAGGCTGCGGGCAGCTTTGCAACCCAGTGCTCAACCGCTGCGCCACCGGGGAGGCCCCCAAGATTATTACTTTTTAAAGGTTTATTTATGCATACAAGTTTATTTATGCATACAAGGGTATAGGCCAGAGGTGTGGGGGTATGAGAGGATTCACCAGGGACAGAGTGAGGAACAGAACAGGCAGACTGACTGAAATGTACTGCTGAGGGGAGCAGTGGGCAAGTCAGGAGACGTCTGCTGCACCATGTGGGTTGCTCCCTGGCTGGCTGGGGATTGAACTCGTGTTGCAGTGGCTGTGGGGAGCTTCATGGGTCGCGTCTTAACCCCTTGCACCACCAGGGAGGCCCCGAAAAGATTATTTTTTTTGACTTTGCGTCAGTGTAGAAAGTCAATTGCCCACTGACATGTGGCTCTATTTCTGGACTGTTTAATCTCTCCTATGCTACACTGTGGTCTTGATTATTGTAGCTTTGTAATAAGCCTTGAGATCAGGTAGTGTCAGTCTTCCCAACCTTGTTCTTTTTCAAATTGTTCTTAACTTGACTATTAATTTATTCAACAAGTAGTTAATGGCATCAGGCAGGCTGAAGCAGTAAGATAGGCAAGAATTGCTAGTTTTATGGCTGAGTTGACAAGCACATGAATAAATAAGACAACTTCAAAAGTAATCACTGCTGGTAGGGAAAAAAAACAGAAATGGAGAGGCTGTGGTTAGTTTTGAGAAGGGATCTCTGAAGAAATGATTGAATTAGTCTTCTGGATTTTGTTTTGCTTAATTAGCAAAAATCTTTTTGATTGGTGTGTTTAGAGTTTAGATTTTATATACATTCAGTAATTAAAATGTTAGTACTCTTCTCTCTTGGCATCAGAGGTGGGATGTGAAGTCATTCAACGATGAAGTATCCCCTTCTCCCAGGGCACTGAACAGTTTTGTACTGAATTTAGATTTTGAGGTTGCTTGTCTGCCCCGTTCAGCTGATAAACAGAGTGTATTCTCCAATTCTACCTTCATTCTTATAGCCTTTACATTTGCCTTGTTCCCCTGAAAGATCAAGTGTGATCACTCATCCTCCAGCAGAGAGTACCAGACAGTTTAGCCTGTGCTCAGACTGGAGGCTTTTGGTTTATCTGTTGCTGGTCAAGTACATCTTGTCCCAGGCGCTCCCTGGTAGCTATGTTTGT